CGAGGAGGAGAGGGAGGAAAAAGGAGGAGGAGGAGGAGGAGGAGGAGGAGGCCTCTTAGGAGCCTCTTGGGGCACCCTTGTGGTCTCCTGGGGGCTTCCTGGCGGCCTCTTGGAGGTCTCTTGGTGGCTTCCTTGGGTTTCTTGGAGGCCTTTTGGAGGCTTCTTGGGAGGCTCTTTGGCCATCTGAGGGCGTTCCTGGCCAGTCCCGTTGCAAGCCGTCTTGTGGACCTCTCTGGGCCGAGCTGGGGCACTCTTGGGTCGCCTGAGGGCCGTCTTGGAGACCACCTTGGCCGTCTTAGAGGTCTTCTGGGTCGTTTGGGGGTCTCTTTGGACCTGTCCTGGGGGCCTCTTGGGCCGTCAGGGGGCCATCTCGGAGGCCTCTAGGGTGCTCGTTGGGCCATCGGAACACCGTAAACGAGCAAACGCCAAAATCCTTCAAAAACCTACACGGAAAATCTGGTCTTTCGGGGCCTTCCGGGAGGTCCTCTTGGGCCGTCTTGGAGGCCTCTCGGGCTGTCTTGGGCGATCTTAAGGCCATCTTGGGCCATCTCGGCGGCATCTCGGCCCGTCTTGGAGGCATCTTGGGACCGTGTTGGAGGCCGTTTTGGGGGGCATCTCGGCGGCAATGTTGGGCCATCCTTGCCGTCTTCGGACGACGTGTTGTGCCCCTTACGCTCTCGACGCGGCCCTCTGGGTGGCCGGCGGCCGGATCGGCCGACGGCCCACTGGGGACCTCTCGAGAGAGCCAACATCTACCCAAAAGCTGGCACGCCGTGCATCCCTGTGGCAAGCCACAGGGGGCCGCGGATCGAAGACGCCTACGGCGAATCGCCGCCGCCCCCTGCCTTTTGGAATCGCCCACGAGGCCGAGCGTGGTGGCAAGAGCTCTGCCAAGCCATCGGAGCGCGTGTTCCCACGACCGTTATGGAAACCCCCTCGGGGAACATTTGGGGGAGGATGGCGGGGAAGATCAGGAGGAGGAGGAGGAGAAGGAGGAGGAGGAAGAGGGGGCATCTTGGGAGCCTCTAAGGGCATTCTTGAGTAGTCAACAGCTCGTCGCCGAACCGCCGAAACGCGGGCAAGGCGTTAGACATGATGTTTCCTGCCCGCTCATGACCACGAAGTTTGGACCTTCCCGACACAAATACAAGTGAGGAATGCGGTTGATGTTCAAGTGTGGCTCTCGCCCCAGCGCCGCGCACACCATCCGTACGGGCTTCGCCCGTTGCCGCCAGCCCCCTTTCTCTCTTAGAATGGGGCATACCAGAGCTAAGTTGGAATGCAAGGGCGCAGTCGTGAAGCAATGTCGGGATTTCACGCGAGGGCCAATATCGTACGTTACAGCTTGCACAGCAAGTCTGAAAACCACCGATCGAATTCTGACGGCTCGCATTGCGAACTTGCTGACAATCGTGGTTTCGGGACGCGAGCATCGCGCAATTTACCGGGGATCGTAGCCTCGGAACGCAGCGTAGTGTACAAAAGGATCGTGACTTCGAGGGCGCGAGCATTGATAAATTGCTCCGGATCGTGGCTTCGGGGACGCAAGCATGGTGTAATTTAATAGGGATCGTGGCCTCAGGACGCGAATATTGTATAATGTATGGGGGGGCGTGGCTTCGGTGACGCAGATGTTGCATAATTTGCGAAGGCTGATGGCCTCGAGGACGCAAATATTGTTTAAGTTTGTAAGGATCGTGGATTCGGGGACGCGAGTAGTGCGTAATGTACATGGAATCGTGGCTTCGAGGACGCGAATATCTGTAATGTACGAAGGGGCCGTGGCCTCGGGGACGCGAACCTTGTCTGATTTACGGGGGCCAGTGGCCTCGAGGGCGCGAATATGATACAATTCGCCAGAAGAAAAGGTGATAGCCTCGGGGTCGCAAAGGTTGTATAAGCTGCAAGGCACTGTGGCTTCGGGGACGCGAGGATCGCGTGATTGACCAGGGGCCGTGGCCTCGCGGACGCGACCACTGTGTAATTCACTAGGGTTTTCTGGTCTGGAGGAGGAGGAGGAGGAGGAGGAGGAGGAGGAGGAGAAGGAGAAGCAGGAGGCCCCCGCCCAAAATGTTTAGAGGCCACCCAGAGGGCGTGGTAAACGCTGGGACCTTTTTGGGGGCTCCCCGCCCCTCGCGCGGACTCAGCTCAGCAGGTTGCAGCGGGAAGCAGAACATGGGACTGTAAAATTTGGGTATTGGCAACGACTTGCCAGTTTGCAGCAGGAAGTAGAAATTGGGATTCTAACAGTGGAGACTGGGAGTTGGAAACTGGAACTGGAGGAGGCAGCAGCAAGCCTGCTCCGCGCAGCCGCAGGGCCCCACCAGGGGGCCGGCGGACCCTTAGAAGCTTAGGACAGTTGCAAGGATGCAGGTCGAACCGCTTCCAAAAGATTGCTCTCGCCGCAGCGCCGCGCACATTCTGCCCACGAATTTTCAGCAGCTGCCATGCTGGAGGGCAACTCTTGTTTTCTCAATGGGGCGCTCTCTTGAGACTGTGACAGCATGCGCGGCCAGAGTTCTTTTGCTGCATCGCCAGAAGTGGAAACGTTTGCCACGCTTGCACTGGTCGAGGGCGGCTGTGTGTCCAGACCAGGTCTCTCGCTGGGCACTTCCCTGAGCTTCGTGGTCCTGCGTCCTCGCGCTTCTTACAGTCCCAGGGCGCAGGGCAGTTCTCAAAACACGGGGCTCCCGCCTGACGGGCAGGCTCGTCGGGAGTTGGTCTTCCAAAGGAGCGCCTCCAGGAGTGAACAGGGATGCTTGTAGGGACTCGTGAGGAGATCACTCGGGATGGGAGGGCGCATTTTCCCCAGACAGCGTTTGCACCGAAGGATTCTTGATTCGGTCCCTTAGGTAATTAGACGGGTCCGCCGAGGATCTTCTACGTTGCCGTTCTGTGCCGCCTCGTGGGCGCTCGTGGGCGCCCTGTGCGTCGGGTGGATCCGCCGAATGTGCGCCACGTTGCCGCCTCGTGCGCGCCCCTTGCGCAAGGTGGGTCCGCCGAGGTTGCGCTTGTTGGCGCCACTTGTGTTGGGTGGGTGGGTCCGCCGAGGTCGCGCCACGCTGCCGTCCGTACCGCCTCGTGGGCGTTCGTGGGCGTCTAGTGCGCTGAGCTTACACCGCATAGCTTGCACCACATAGCTTACACGACATGGCTAACACCACATAGCCTGCACGTCATAGCTTACACTGCACATGTAGGTACATCTTCTCTGTTCAAAAGAGAATAGGTTCTACCACCCTCTCCCCCTGGACGGAATCCTGGGGCATTGCGATTTACAGATGAGTCTACCTCTTGCGTTCATGCTTGACTTGCAACCAAGCCATCCCAGACCAACCAGAATCGACCCCCCCCTCTCATCCATGAGAAGTACTTCTGCGCGCACACACCCATTTATCTCAAAAGACCATCGTTCAACTACCTGTTGCCAGAAAAACGAAGCAAACTCCACACTCGCGCCCCGCCGCGCGCTAACCATGCCAAGATATGGCTACCCACAAACTATCACAAACCACTGCTTTGTCACAAAACAATATGTCATCAGAGTTCTGCGCGCACTCGTTGAAATCTTCAGAAAACCATAGGCCGTTAGACAATCAGTCAAGTCAGACTATCCGGGCCGCTCGCGCGCGCATGCCGACAACGTTCAACCACCATCCCGCGCCCTTTAACTCTGTCAAATGTTACCTTGCGGGTCACACGCGCACGTTTCCGCGCGCGCACGTCATCAGGTCAGGACGCCGTGATTTCTGCGGGCGCGCACACGATCACAATCCTCACCATCGCAATCGCCATCATCGTCGTCAGCGTCATCATTGCCATCGCCAGCAGCAGCAGCATCATCGTTAGCATCACCATTGTCGGGATCATCACAGCCGCCGTCATAGTCGAAGTCGTCGCCGTTGTCGACGTCATCATGATCTGGCGCCCGCCCGAGTCATCGACCCGCACTGAAATGTCCCCGCGCCAACGCGACCGTTGAGAGACGCGGGGATCTTCCCTTCTGTGAGCGCCATCTCGACCGCATCAGCTGCACAAACCCACCTGGAAGCACTGCACGCGAGAGTGCGCGCCAGTGCGGCCGTAGAGACGCAGCTGCAAGCTCCAATCAGGAAGCACAATCGTGTTCGAATGGGCTCAGGTTGCGGGTGGGAGGGTAAGCTGTTTGCGCGAGCGTTGGGGTTGACGATTTTAAGTTCTTCGCGGTGGGTTACACCGCATAGCTGGCACCTTCACAGTGAAATATCTAATTGGCATAATCGACAAATCTGAAGAATGCGTCCACTCCGGAAGCGACTCTCGAAGCAGACTCCCGACATTTTAGACAGTGAACGCAGCGATCGCGCCAACCAGGGGTGGTGGAAAAACGGAAGCAGCAAGCTGTCGGGAAGGAGGAGCAGGAAGAGGATGCACCTTGTGCCTAGTTCCAGGTATGGCCGTTCAATGTTCCGAAGGCCTTGCGGCCGGTGCCGCCAACTCTGAGGGGGGACGACGACGACGACGACGACGACGACGACGACGACGACGACGACGACGACGACGACGACGACGACAACACCGGTGGCGACGACGACGCTGACGCCCTGGAGCCCTTTATGGGGCTCTCTTGCGAGCCTCTTGGGCTCTGTTGGGGTGCCTCGTTGGGTCAAGGCATGGCCGTTCAATAGTTGTGTAGATAGAGATGCCGACTATGTTGGTTAGTGCTGTATTGAACAGCAGCGTCGCGACTCCGCTCATTGATCAAAGTACTGGCCTACCAGAGCCCTCAGCCGCGCAATCCCACTAACGGCATCTCCGACATCGGGGTGCGAGCTGACGCCTACTCGAAAATAACATTTCCACGTTTCTCTTCGAGGGCTGAGGAACTTTCGGTATCACGTTCCCTTGCAAACAGCGGGGTAGTCGGCCTCAGAAGTGAACATGCCCCGTCGTGGCCCTTCTGACGGGTCCAGACTACTTGCACCCTCTTGTTGGAAGCCATGCCGCGAGGCCCCCGCAGGAGAGCTTGCAACGCGCCGTGGACGGCACACGGAATGTACAACCGCTCGACGAACTGCATGGTGGCCGTGCTGGTGGACCGGGTCGGGCGAAAGGGGGGGTTGGGGAAAGGGGGGGTTACGAAATCTGCTGCATGCAGCTGGTTTCGGCCCCTCCGCCGGGCCCATTCCTCGACACAGGGGCGCCTCCCGGCGCCGGGAGGCGCCGGGAAAGTCGGCTACGTGAGCCGATTCTCAAGCCCCCCCTTTGCTATCCCCCCCTTTCGCCCGGCCCGAGTGGAGCGAAGCCTCGGCTCGGCAGAGCACGCGCCCCCCCCCCTCGGCATCCCCCCATAGGGGCGGTCCGCGGGGCTCTTCCCGAGCCGTGCCGGCGCGGGGCGCGCTGAAGGGTGGCCGTGCTGGCGGAGCGAGGCCTCGGCTCGGCAGGGCGCGCGCTTCCCCCCCCCTCGCAGCCCCCAGAGGCTCGACGAGCTGAACGGTGGCCGTGCTGGTGGAGCGAAGCCTCGGCTCGGCGGAGCACGCGCCCCCCCCCCGCGCATCCCCCCCTTGCCATCGCTCGGACGTGTGCGTTTTTTCCTCGGCGTGGACCATCGAGGAGCATTCTTGATCACTTGGCGAAAAAACCACGCACGAAACCGAAAAAAACACAGGGAATGGACGTCCGAGCGATGGCCAGCCCATGGAGGCGGCCCGCGGGGGGCCTTCCCGAGCCGTGCGCGCGCGCGGGGCGCGCGGGCCGCGGCCTCTCCACATCTCGCGGCCCGCCCCGGCCCTCTGTCTCCGGCCACGCGCGTCACGCCCGCGGCAGCCCGGCGGGCCCAGGAAGGGAGAGCACCGCCCCAGAGCATTCCGTCGGGCTCGTCCTCAGTGGGCCCTGGAAACGACAGGGCCGTTTTTTTACCTGTTCCGTTTTGCCGTTTGTTTGCCGGTTCCGACGCCGTTGTTTTGCCGGTTCCGTCGCCGTTGTTTGACCGGTTCCGGCTCCGGTTCCAATCCTGGAGCCGTTTTTTTGCCGTTTCCGGTCGCCGTTTTTGTTGCCGTTTCCATTTTCAAGGGACATGTTTTTGGAAACGATCGATAAAAAAAACGGCCCTGCCGTTTCCGGGGCCCACAAAGGGCTCTCCCTCTACAGGAGGAATATGCAAAAATACTGAAAAAATAGTCTGGGGACGATTGTCTTAGTATGATCTGAGTAAGTGTTTGGATATGTTTTGCATTTTTTACCTGTCGTCCAAAACCCGCCTGTAGGGGGACATGCCCGACCTCACCAAAGCATTCCGGAACGCCCTCGCAGCGTTCTGGCATGCTCTAGATCGGCCGCGGCGCCTAGTGCACGTTCCAGGCCCGCCTGTTTTCTCAGGTGTTTCGAGGCTTCTCGTTCCGAAGGAGTCTTCTTCTTCTTCTTCTTCTTCTTCTTCTTCTTCTTCTTCTTCTTCTTCTTCTTCTTCTTCTTCTTATTATTATTATTATTCTTGCCGCCGTCTCGGGCAGCCCCAGCTTTTTCGACGCCTGAACAAGACGGAGAAGAATGGGGACGAGGCCCAGCAGCAAATGCTGCTCATCACCGCAAGCGGGGCTGCCAACGACGTCTGTCCCAAATGCGCGAGGCCCACAGTAACACCGACAGCGAGTCCTGCTCAAAATGGGCAGGGTTCGCTGTGGATCTTCGTCCCGTCATTTTCGGGTCGCACGAAGGGGGGGGATAGGCAAAGGTGGGCGTACAGTGGAGACCCATGCCAAGAAACGCCCTGCTTGCCTCCGAGGTGCCCTGGGTTTTCTTGGGTTTCGATGGTTTTGGCGATGGAAAGCGTGACGCTCCCACACCAAGAATCAATGGACGTCCTGGGGTCTCAGGGTTGGGTTTCTTGTGGAAGGTTTCTTGTGGTCGAGCCCCTACTGTACGAAATCTGCTGCGTGCAGCTGGCCTCGGCACCGCCGCCGGGCGCATACCTCGATGCCTTCATTGGCGCCTCCGGCGCTGGGAGGCGCTCGGAGAATCAGCCATAGGGGAGCTGATTCTTGCGACATCCGAAGGTGCCCCTGTGTTCCATGCGCGGCCCCGGAGAAGTCCGACTGCTTCCCCGGGGTTGGGGGATGGGGCCGTCCCGAGGCTCAAGAGAGGGGGGTCTATGCAAACGAGGGTCAGCCAAAGCGCCGGATCTTGCAGGATCCTGCAGGGACAGGGTCGCACTGACCCGGGCTTGGGCGCAGGATCCTGCAGGAGCTTGCAGGACCCCTCGCATTGACCTGGGCTGGGGCGCAGGATCTTGCAGGATCCTGCAGGAGTCTGCAAGGCCTGTTCGACCCGGGTCTGGATTGACCCGGGCCAGAAGGGCCCCGACCCCCGGGGGGGGGGGAGTCGGCCCAGATCCGTTTCTGCTGGCCCAGGGGGGGGGGGCCGAAGCGGGGCCGCGGAGGCCGACGTCGAGGCAAGGCGCCTGGATTGAGAGAATCACATCGTCGGAGATCTGGGCCCCGCTCGCGGCCCTCCAGCGCGGCGACGAACACCTATCCAGATCCGCGCCCTCGCGGCTCGGATTCGGGGGCGGGATCCCGCAGAGCCGCGGGCGCACGGCTGCGTGCCGCGCGGGGCACCCGTGGAGAAGCCCCCCCCGTGTCCGCCTGGGCCGCGGCCCAGCGGCCCGGCCCGCGAGGCCGAGGAAATACCAGCATGCTTTTCCTTCTTCGGCCACGCATGCGGGCGACCCTTTGCTGGAGCGGCCTTTGGTGCGGGCCCGCTGGGGGCCCCCGGTCGCTGCGCGCGAGGCGGCAGCAGCGGCCTCCGCGCTCGGGCCCGGCCCCCCCTCCGCGCCCCCCCCCCCCCCCCAAAGCCGCGCACCGGGGGGCGCCCCTGCCCGCGGCCGCTCTCGCGTGCGGGCCGGGCTTCACCCCCAGAAGTGACCCCCGGTGCGCGGCCTCCGCGGGGGGCGCACGGGGGGCCCAGACCCGAGCGCAGAAGCCGCTGCCACCGCATCGCCTTCGGCGGTCTGGGGCCACCCGTGCGCGCCGCCGTTCTGCGCCCACGGTGTGCCCCCCATCGTCCGAGACCCCCAGGGGCCTCGACCCGCTCCCCGTGGAGCGGCTGCCCGTGCTGCGTCGCTGCTGCCGCGACCCCGGGGCCGGGCCCGGTGAGGGCCCCTGGAGGCTGAGAGCAGCGAGAAGTTTGCCGTCGTGAGCTTCGTCATGGCTCGAGGGGGTCTGGCCCTGAGACCCGACGGGGCGAGCAAAATCGAAACACCGCCAGGAACCACAATCAGAACCCTGCACCCCATCTTTCTGCATTGTTGTTCGAGCCGCATCGATCCGTGAGAATGCCGGGGCCCGAAACCAGGCGAAAGCGCCCGCTGTGATAAAAATGGCAACGCCAGGAACTTAGGGAGGTCACCCTTGCTCGTCTTAAGTCGGGCATGTCCCTCTACAGGAGGAATATTCCAAAATACTCTACAACTTGTTGAATATGTTTTGACTCTTTTTCCGTTCCACTCCAAAATGCGCCTGGAGGAGGACATGCCCGACCTAATGCCCGTCCGACCCCAGCGTCCCCGGCGGTGGAGAAGACCAACCAGGAAGTCCACACGGGAACCAGGAGATCGGTGGGCGAACGGGGGAACTGTCCTCGTCCGCCTCGAGAAAAATGCCCCCTCGCCCGCCTCGAGAAATCTCTTCCTCCGCCTCGAGAAGCTTCCTCGCTCGCCCGTCGACCGTCCCCGGCCGGGCTGGTCCCCGCCGCGGCCCGCGGGGCCGGCGGCGCGCGGGGCCCTCCGCGGAGCCTGCGCGCGCCCCTTCCCCCCCCCCGATGCGGAGCCTGCCGCGCATGGCGCAGCGGAGACGGCAGCGCGGTGCCTGGCGGTCGGCAGCACGATCCTCGGCGCGAGGCGCAGGCGGCCGAGGACCCAGACCCTCCTCCCTCCTCCTCCTCCTCCTCCTCCTCCTCCTCCTCCTCCTCCTCCTCCTCCTCCTCCTCCTCCTGCCCTCCTCCTCCTCCCTCCTCCTCCTCCTCCTCCTCCTCCTCCTCCTCCCTCCTCCTCTCCTCCTCCTCCTCCTCCTCCTCCTCCCTCCCCCTCCTCCTCCTCCTCCTCCTCCTCCTCCTCCTCCTCCTCCTCCTCCTCCTCCTCCTCCTCCTCCTCCTCCTCCCCTCGCCCTCCGGCCCGCGCCGCGTGCCTCGGGCCATCGGCCCACACCCGCCAATTTCTCGCGGAGTGCAGAAGCTCCCGCAGGCCACCTGGAGCCCACCCAGACCCCCTCGAGCCATGAGAAACTCACGGTGGGAAGATGTCCACCATTCTCGGCCTCTGATGGGGCCCTCCTGGGCCTCGGGGCCGTCGGAAGGCGACCGAGGATGAAGAGCCGGTCCCGGGGAATGGGTTGAGGCCTCTGGGGGTCGACGTCATGGAAAAGTCAGCACGATCATCGACACGATGTTCACGATGCCGAGAACACCTCGCGAGCAACGAGCGTGTCCGGATGGGCGCCGGCCGACATTTTCGACCGATTAGAGTCACACATAGCGATAGGAGCACGATCCTCGACACGACGTTCACGATGCCGAGGACCTCGCGAGCGACGAGCGTGTCCGGATGGGCGCTGGACGACACTTCGACCGATCGACCGATTGGAATCACACATGGCGATCGGCATTGCGAGCATCCGGCACGATGTTGACGATACCGAGGAAATCGCGAGCAACGAGCGCGTCCAGATGGGCACCGACCGACATCATGGCGATCGGCGGTCGACACTTCGACCGATTGGAATCACACATGGCGACGCGATCATCGGCACGATGCTCACGATGCCGAGGACCTCGCAGGCGACGAGGGGGTCCAGACGGGCGCTGGCCGACACCTCGACCGATAGGAATCACACATGGCGATCGACGGCCGACACTTCGATCGGTTGAATCACACATAGTGATCGGCAACGCAATCATCGGCACGATGCTCACGATGCCGAGGATCGCGCAAACGTCCTCGGCGCTGGCCGACGCTTCAATCGATCAAAATCGCGTACAGGACGCCGCTGGCTGCGTGTCGGCAGAAGGCGCCGGCTCGGGAGCGGACCGAGATCCTCGTGGTTCTTGCTGCCGCCCCTGCGAGCCATGCCGACGTCGAGAGGTCCTGCCCGCGCTCCGTGCCAGTTTTGGCTCGAGTGGTTCGGCGCTCTCAGGGGCGGTGCGGTGTGTCTGGCAGCGTGGGCGAGGCTGGGGCCCCCCGTCGTGCAGAGGCCTTCGCGATGGCCAGAGGCGCGCCGAAGGCCGAGGCCGAGGCCAAGCCTCCCAGCAAGGGCGGCGACGTGATGACCAAGATGGCGTCCCTCATCTTCAGCGACGCCACGATGAAGAAGTACGTTCCGCCGAAGGTCTTCAAGAAGTTCCAGGAGCCAAGCAGTGGCGGAGCGTCCCGGCTGGCCCGTAGGCCCACCGAAGAATGCTCTGGGAACTTTGTGTGGCCTGCACGAAGTGTGTTCTTAGAGCACTTCTGGCTGGGACTGTCCTGTTTTCACACATCGGGCTTCTGTTCTGAGAACATTGTCTGCGTACTTTGAACATTTCTGGGTTCCAAGAACATGTCGTGGTAGGCCAACAGGAATGCCGGGACGGTCGGTCCCTGCTCAAAGGAGGACCTCGTGTCTGGGGACCCCACCTCCGAGGATGACCAGAAGGCGATCGCGAAGGGCATGTTCAAGTGGGCGCGGGAGCACGGCTGCACCGACTTCGCCCACTGGTTCTTCCCGTGCCGCGGGGGCAGCGGCGCCGTGGGCGGCGCGGTCGGCGCCCTGAAGATGGACACCCTGATCGACATGGACTTCAAGTCGAAGAGCGCGAACAAGCCCTTCTTTCCCGTGCTCCCGACCGAGCGCCTCTTCCAGGGCGAGACGGACGGCTCCTCCTTCCCCAACGGCGGCCTGCGCGTGACGCACTCCGCCGCCGCCTTCACGGTGTGGGACCGGACGTCGCCGCCGTTCATCGTGGGCACCACGCTCCGCATCCCGTGCTCCTTCCTGACGCACTTCGGGAGGAGCATCGACGAGAAGACGCCCCTCCTGCGCTCCATGGACGCCGTCAGCGCCCAGGGGCTCCGCCTGCTCAAGGCCCTGGGGCTGGCCTCGGACGCCAAGTGCCTGCGCTCGTACCTGGGCTGGGAGCAGGAGTTCTTCGTCGTCTCCGCCTCCCTGTACAAGAAGAGGCCCGACCTCGTCAACACCGGCCGCACGCTGTTCGGCAAGCTGCCCTCGCGCGGTCAGCAGATGGACCTCAACTACTTCGCCCCCGTCCCGTCGAGCGTGGACCGGCTGCTGGTGGAGGTGCAGCAGGAGATGCTGAAAGCGGGCACCCCGATGGCGGTCCGCCACAACGAGGTGGCGCCGGGCCAGCATGAGATGTCCCCGGTCTTCGGCGTTGCCAACTTCTCGGCCGACAACAACGTGTATTTCATGGAGGTTTGCAACAGGGTGGCGGCCAAGTACGGCTTGATGGTGCTCTTCCACGAGAAGCCGTTCGCTGGCATCAACGGCAACGGCAAGCATGCCAACTGGTCCGTCGGGACCGACACGGGCATCAATTTCTTCTACCCAGGCAAGACAGATGAAGCGCGCACCATCTATACGGCGGCCCTGGCCTGCCTGTCCCACGGCATCATGCAGTACAACGAGATGTTGCGCTGCGCCGTGGCGCACGCAGGCAACGACCACCGTCTCGGTGCCCAGGAGGCGCCCCCCGCCATCATCTCGCTCTACCCAGGCCAGGGCTTCGAGGCGCACGTGGACGCGGTGATCGCGGGAGGCCCCCTGAACGAGTTCAAGGCGGAGAAGAAGCTGCAGCCCACCGGCTGCAAGGCGTCCATGGCCGTGGAGTCCAACGTCGAGGACCGCAATCGCACCGCACCCTTCCCCTTCTGCGGCAACCGCTACGAGTTCCGCGCGGTGGGCTCCTCGCAGAACTGCTCCTTCCCCGTGATGGTCTGCAACACGATCATGGCCGCGGGCATGAGCGCGCTCTCAGAGAAAATCGAGGGCGGCACGTCGGCGCGCGACGCCGTGGCCGAGATGTACAAGTTGAACCGCAACGTCATATTCTTGACGCTTCGCGGATCCTCACCAGCCCGTCCAAAACCAAACAAACACCAGGCGGTTGCCCTGATCAGGGACGTGTAGCCGCATGCAGTTTACGCTCGGGTGGCCTCTTGGAGGCATCTTGGGGCCATCCTGGGCCCCCTCCTTGGGCCCTCCTGTAGCCATTCTAGATGCCTTGGAGTGCTCTCTTGGTGTGCTGTCTCTGGGCCCTCTTGGGGCAATATTGGAGACCCTGGGGGCGCTCGCGGGGCCACCTCGGAGACCATCGATCCAAGAAAGGGGGGTTGCAGGGCCACCGCAGGGCACTGCAGGCTCACGTGGAGGGTGCTGCCAGGTCGTGTGCAGGGCCCTGCAGGTTCCTGCAGGGGCCTGGCTTGCAGGGCAGCTGTGGGGTCGGGAGCAGGGGCCCCTGGAGCCCCGCGGCGGTGGCTGGCGGAAGCGCCCACGCACGGGAAGCTGTGGAGGCTGTGCAGGCGGCGGCCGGTGGAGGGCGCCTCGTCCGCAGCAGGCGGGGCCAGGGGGCCGTCGGAGCTGGCGGGCGGGGCCAGGTGCCCGCGGCGGCCCCGTCGGGCGCAGCGTCCCCGCCGCGGGAGTGGCGCCCGCCTGCCCCCCGCCCCCCGCTTCGGAGCAAGGGCAGAGGCTCGTGGGTGTTTGCTGAACAAAAACTTAAATGCACGTGGTGCAATCTGCAAGCATTACAGTGGAGACACGTGCCAAGAAACACCCTGCTTGCCTCCAGGGTGCCCTGGGTTGTTGGGGCGTCGACGGTTTCTGTTATGGAAGGCGTGTCCGTGGACGTCCGGGGGTCTCGGGTCTCAGGGTTGCGTTTCTTGTGGAAGCTCTCTTGTGGACTGGCCTCGGCTGTGCCCACTCGGGTCCTCCGAGCCGCTGAGCACTGTCAGCGGAAATGCTCGCCGGCGGCCCGTGCAGGCGCCCTGTCCGCGCAGCGCGGGCGCGGGGGCCCTCGGCGGCGGCCTGCGGGAGAACCCGCGCCTGGGGGGGCCGGCGGAGGCTCTGCGGGAGGCGGCCGCCGGGTGAGGCATCTCCTCCCCCGAGGCCTTGGCGCGGCAGTGTTTGCACCGCGGGCGGGTTGCGCCCGGCTTGGTGCCGATCCAGCTTGGAGAACGGCGCAGAGTGGCGGGCTCTGGGCGGGGTGCTCCTCGATGCTGCACTGTGTGTGTGTGTGTGTGTTTGCAGCGTCGGAGCTCGGGGCTCCGCGGGTGTGGCGTCTTCCTCCCCGCCCCCCTCCTGCCCCTCGGTCCGCGGCCGACGCGGTAATTGGCATCGGCGGCCTGCCCTCCCCCTGCCCTCCCCGCACCCCCCCCCGCTCGGGCGGCGGCGGCGGTCAGCTCGGCGCCCCTTGTTCCTCCGGGGAGGGCGGGGGGCTCTCGGGCTGAGCCTCGGGCACGGTGCTGGCAGGCATCGCGGTAGCTACGGCGGCCTCCGAGCAAGCGTAGAGCGCTCCCCACACCGCACCTTCACACTCAGGGTACGTACTGCGTGGCCAACGTCTGGCACAGGGCGTGGCACGCCGCGCTGTTACCGTGCCTCCCGCCTGGGCAGGCCGAAGCCTATGGCGAAGTGGGCGTCGTCACCGCGGTGGCTTCCTGGCCTTCTGCCGAGGGGCAGTACGTCGCTGAGGCTGACTTTCTGAAGGCCCCTGACAGGGCCCCTCACCCGGTGGCCCAGAGAGCCCTGGAACCCGCCTGGGTGCCTCCTCCTGCGCCAGCTGGACTGCGGCTCGTTTTTGTGCTGTGGCCAGAGAGATGACCAAAACCTTGTTTCCCACTCGGGGGACTCCCGCGGGAGACCCGGTTTGCTGCCGGGTGCTCTCCCTCGTGCTGGCGCCGTACACAGGCTTGTCGGCGCCCACGGGGCCGGGCACTGGAGCTGCGTGGACGACCGGTCGTTGAAAACGGAGGGCAACGAGCGGTTCGACGTTGCCGTCGGGTTGACGGAGAACGACGGCGAGCGGCAGTTGTGGGCAGGCTGAGGTTCCGCCGAGCAGTTGGGTGTGGTCGCCCAGCCGGCGTCCAGCGCCCGGCCACAGCTACCGAGACTGCCGGGGCCCCGTGGTGGATGCAGCCCGGCGGGCCAGGGTTGTCCCAGGCAGCTCCGAGCTGCGGGAGCAGGTCGTGAAGTGGGCCCTTCACGGCTACATGTGGGCGGCCCCCCTCCGTGGAGCACCCGCCAGGGGTCCTGGCGAAGGAGCGCCTGGAGGCCATCTCGGTGCTCAGGTCGGCATGGTGGTGCGCCCGACGCTTCTGGGCGAACCAGGTCCTGACGCACCCCAACCTGGCCTTGACGCGCTGGGCCGTGAGGGCGGCGTGCGGCTTCCCTTTGGTCGCGCGTGCTCGCGGTGGGTCTGGACACCCGTTGCGGCAAGCTGGGGCTGCGCCTGGCGGACTTTCTAGGCCCCCTCCCGGAGGGCGTCTGCGCAGTCCCGGGGGGAGGCTCGAATTAAGCGCCATGCCCAGGTCGCGGCGAGGAGAGGCGGGAGTGCGCCATTTCGGGGGCACGTTCGGCGCGTCGAGCCCCCGTGGCCAGCATGTCCTGCGCGTCTGCGCGCATGCCTCCCCCCTGGTGGAGCGCAGGGCTCGGGCGCGGCGCGACGAGGAGGTGCTGGGCCAGGTGGAAATCGAAGCCTCGAGCCACCCTGAGTGGTCGTGCTGGCGTCGCCAGATTCCTTCGCGGTAACAACATTGCCTGTCCGCGTGGAGGGCTGGGGCCGCTTGGACTCCGACCCGACGCTCTGCCGGGCAGGGCAAACTTCAGGTTCGCTTTTGGTGCGGGTATGGCCAGGCTTCGGCCCGCCATTTCTGGGCGGACTGCCTGCGGTTCCTCCGGCCACCCCAGGAAGGCTGTTGAAGAGGGACCGCTGGCGGTCACCCAAGGGTGGCGGAGAGCGCGGCCCCCAGTCACGGCCAAGTCCGCTTGGATCACGCCGCAGCAGACGCACCCACGCCCGCGACGACGGGTGCAGCTCAGATAGCCGCGGCGCAGTTGGTTTTCCAGGCCATGGAGTCGCTGGAACGCAACGGAACCAGGAGGCCCACAGCCCCGCGGCGGTTGGCGGAAGCGTCTTCGGCGGAAGCGGCAGAAGCGGCGGAAGCTGCATATGCGGCGGCGGGCGGGGACGCCTGTTCCGCGGAAGGCTTGACAGGGGGCCCCCAGGCCCCTCGGCGCTGGCTGGCGGAAGCTGTGCCTGCGGGGGCTATGGTGGAAGCATCTTCCCCGCGGAGGTAGCGCCTTCCTCTCCCTCCCCTGCCGGCCCCCTGGCTGGCGGGGCGCGGGGTCCCGGGGGTGTTGGTTTGGTGTCCCGTCGTGGTGTCCCGATGGTGTCTTGCTTGCACGGGGAGCCCCGCCCCGCCCAACCACACAGTGTGGCGTTGGCCCCCAGGCCGACAGCGCGGTGCCAGCGTCCGCGGCGGGCACGGCGGCAGTGGCGGAGGGCGGCCACCGTTTCATCCCTGCCCCCCGCGATCGGGCGGCGTCGGCGGCGGCGGCGGTCAGGTCTGCGCCCCGTCTTTCTCCAGGGGAGTGGGGGCTCTTCGAGCCGAGGTTCCTGCTCGGCGCTTGCAGGCATCACAACTGCCCCGGCGGCTTCTGAGCAGGCGTGGAAGGCTCGCCCGGGCCACAGGCCCGGGAGCATGCGGCAAAGCAGAGGATGCCCACCGCATGTTGAACATTTTGGGGTATTGCAAGGCAGTTTTGCAGGGCATTGCAGGGGTATTTGCAGAGGGTTTTGCAAGGCCTTGCGGGGGGTACTGCCAGGCCCAGGGAGAGGGGGTGGAAGGAGGTAAACGTTCCTCCGAAGGGGAAGAATGAGGTTGGAAAAACTAACTCCTTAAACCAGCTGCGCCCCAAAGGGCTGGTAGGATTCACCGGCAATGGCTATTCCGCCGAGTGGCCAGTCGAAGCGGAGAAGCGCGGCCTCTCTAATCTCAACACGACGCCGAAGGCTATCAAGCATTGGGCATCGGATAAGAACATCAAGCTCTTCGAGGCCCTGGGCGTCTTCACCGAGGAGGAGACCAAGGCGAGGGCCGAGGTGATGTACGAGGCCTACAACACGACCCTCAACATCGAGGCAAGCACCATGGTCGACATGGTCAACACCGCGTTCATCCCAGCTTTTGCGCAGGACCTGGCCCTGTACAAGGATGCACCCGACCTGGCGGGCAGCCGCAAAGCGCTGTACGCCTCGGTGAAGGCCGAGACGGAGAAGCTGGCGAAGATGATGAAGGAGACTCCTCACGACATGGTCGCAGAGGCCGAGTACCTCTGCGACAAGGTTAAAGACCAGATGGCCAAGGTGCGCTCGTTGGTCGACGAGGCGGAGGGCCTCGTGGAGAAGCGGCTTTATCCGTTCCCGACGTACGAGTCCATGCTTTACCACCACCACCACTGAGCCCGAGCCGCAGTGCGCTCGAGTGGGTTTCGCCATCAGTCACGGGTGTTCGGCGTTTCGGTACGTTCGTCAGCCTCTTGACGTTGACAGCCCCTTTTTCACGGCATATCTTGACCTATCCACTCAAAAGCGCGGGTTTTATCCCCAGAGCCCGGGCAAGAGTGAGAGCGCGTTGAACATGTCAGCGCTTGCGGATCTCAGTCCTTGCTCGGTGCTCGCGAAGGTATCACTAGGTAGAGCCAGTGAACAGCTATTCTGAGGCGGCAGAGGCGTAGTGCGGCTGCTCAAGCCTCCACCCCCCGGTTGGTAGCAACTGCGGGGGAAAAAAAGTTGATACCCGCGCCCGTACCCATACCCACGCGGGACAGATGAGCGACGTAAGAGAACGGGGTCGTCTTCGCGGGCATTGGTGCGTAAGCTGCCCGCGTAGGGTCGCGCGTAAGCGCCCTCGTCTCCAGAGTGACGTGCCGCGCCGGCGGCCCGCGCAAGCCGCCGCGCAAGGTCGCTATGTCAGCTCGCGTACGACCCGTTTTGGACCGTCGGCCGGATGTCTGGGCAGGCGGGGTGCCCAGGGATGCGCGGTGTCATGGACGCATGCCGCGCGGAGGCTCCGCACAGGGCCTCCCTGCATCCACGGGGGCCGCGGCCGAGGCGGCTCCGCACCGCGGCGCTGTGCCTGCCGGCAGACTTCCCCCCGCCCACGAGGAGCCCCCTCGACGGCAGGGTCCTCGCGGGCTGCAGGCTGCGGCACGTCGCAGGGCAGGGCGCAGGCGCGGCGCAGTGCCTGGCCCTCCCGGGCCTCGGCGTGTCCGTCGTGACCAGCCTCGGCGGCGACGGCGACGGGAGGTGTACAGATGCCGCCGCTCCGCGGGCCCCTGCCGGGGCGGCGCGGGCCTCCTGCAGGAGGCCCGGGCGGGCGACAGCGAGGGAAGGGAAGCGGCATCGGTACATCTCGTCCTCCGAGGCATGGGCACCTCCCGCTGCCTCGAGGTCCCCGGCGCACTCACCATGTCCGCCTGCGTGGTGGTCGGAGGCAGCGACAGGGGGGGATAGGCATGGGGGCGATGCATCGACCTCGAAGGGTTGATACATCGACCATACATCGACGGTGCACCGTTGATATCAGGGCACTCTGCCCAACGACATGCATGGGCGATGCATCGACGATGCATCGACGACACAGAGGGCGCCGGCGAAGGCCTTCCAGGTTGAATTCAATGACGTGGAAGCGTCGAGGGACGCGGTAACGGCCCTGGACGCGACGGAATCCAGCCGTGAACGATCAGGCCGCGATCGATTCGAGGTGGAACGATCGACGCGGTGTCAAAAACTTTTGCGCGCGCCAGCGCCGAGCGAACCTGCCGTATCCGAGGGCTGGAGCGCCCAAGTGCTGCCCATCCGACTGGAGCGGCGTCGCTTTCGCCGCGAGCACCGACGGCACCCCCAGACCTCGAGCGATGTGATTACAGTGGGGGCTCATGCCAAGAAACAGCCTGCTTGCCACCAGGCTGCCCTGGGTTTTTCGGGGTCTCGATGGTTTGCTATGGAGGGCGCGACGCTCACACGCCAAAAAATCAACATGGACTTCCTGGGGTCCCAGGGTTGGGTTTCTCGTGGAAGGCTTCTTGTGGTCGAGCTCCTATTGTAGTTCAATCCAGGCGCGTTTCCTCGACCTCGGCTTCACAGAGCTTCCAGAGCCTTCCAGAAGGCGCCACCGAGAGGCTCCCGGAGAGCTCCCAAGACGCCCAACAGCAGACTCCCAAGAGGCCTTCCAAGGCGCCTGGACGCCTCCCTCGTCAAGTGGAGACACACACACACACTTGTTGCGTCGGCGGCTAGGCAGAGTGACTGCCCTGGCGGACAGGGCATGTGCAGGGCGTACCGATGCGAAGTAAGCCGCCATGCAAGAGAGGGGAAGGGAGGAAGCCCGGCACGGGCAGGAAGCAGGGGAAGAAAACACACGCACACACACACACACACACACACATACACACACATGCGCGCACACGCGCGCACACACACAGCGTGGAAACCAACTCGTGGGCATTTCCCCGACTCGAAGACTATTCGGGGCCCTGGCTGCCCCTGCCGCCCGAGGCGTGTCCGGAGCGCGGCCCAGGTCCAGCGTCCCGCGCACGGCCGCTGGAGCGAGCCGAGCCTTGTGCCGAAGACGCAGGGCGGCGGCCGGGGGAGGGGGGTGGATTGGCTTCATAGGGGAGAGGGAGGGGCTCCAGGGGGATTGGCTCCAGGGGGAGGGGGGGTGCTCCAGGGGGAGGGGGGGGGGAGGGGCTCCAGGGAGAGGGGAGGGGCTCCAGGGGGAGGCAGGGTCTCCAGGGGGAGGGGGGGGGGGATTGGCTCCAGGGGGGGGATTGGCTCCAGGGGGGATTGGCTCCAGGGGGGCTTGGCTTCAGGGGGGAGGGAGGCAGTGACCCCCGCGCGGGGGGGGGGGCCCGGATCGCCCCGCGCCCGGCCGCCGGGCAGCCGAGCTCTGTGCCGGAGGCGCAGGGCAGCGGCAGAGGGGGGCCCTGAGATCCGACGATCCCTGAGATCCGGCCGCTCCCACCCTGCGGTGTGGGCCGTGCGAGACCTCTCTGACAGGGTGTCTGGCACAGTCTTTGGCCCCCTTCTCCAGTGCCTGGTCAAAAACCTCCTGAAAGTCCCTCCGAGGGGGCCCCACTCTGCCGCCGCCCCCCCCCCCCCTCAAGGTCTCAAACGGCCCGGGGACGACCCAAGGGCGCCCCAAGCCGGTCCAAGAGAGTCCCGAGCAGTCCAAGAGAGCCTCCAGACGGTTCAGATCGCTCCAAGACGCCCAAGATGGCCTCCAGACGGCCCAAGACGCCTCCAAGACGGCCCAAGAGGGCTCCAAGAGCACCCCCAAGACAGCCCCGAGAAGCAAAAATCATTGATTTTTCAATGGTTTTTGAAGGATTTTCACGTTCACGCCATTTCGGCTTACCCACGCTCCACGACGGCCCAAGAGGCCCCCAAGATCGCCCCAGGACGGCCCAACAGGCCCCCAAGACGGCCCCAAGACGGCCCAAGAGGGCCCCAAGACCGCCCAAGAGGCCCCCGGGACGGCCCAAGAGGGGCATGGCCCCAAGAGGAGGCCCAGAAGGGGAACCCGAATGAACATTTCGAGCTTTCGGCCCAGGAGGCCCTAAGAGGCCCCCTCGAGGCCCCCAACAAACCCCAAAGGAGCCCCAAGAGGCCCCAAGAGGGCCCCAAGAGGTCTCCAAGAAGCCCCTGGGATGCCCCCAAGAGGCCCCTAAACTCCCCCCAATAGCCCCCGAGAGCCCTCTCGAGAGAGCCCACGAGGCGTCCATGAGGACTCCGAACCGAAACCCAAGCACGGTGGCGGGATGGGCCGACGGCCAATTGATACATGGCATACGCACCGCGTCACGACGTTCGATGCTGCGCACCACTTCGACAAACTCCCAGGGAGCGGCCGGTGATGTGCCGCTGGCGTCCTCGATATTGGCGTTGCAATTTTTTCGAAACGGGGGTCGTCGCTCGATTTCGGGCCCCAGGGCCCTCACAGATCGCTCCGGCTCGAAAAATGACACCAGAAAGATGCGGTCCGGGGCTCTGGGCGTGATGTTTTTTGCGATGTTGCAATTTGTTTTGCAACGTCGGCTCTCAGGGATGCCCAAAAAATACAGCATCGCAAAGAATCACGCCCGGAGCCCCGGACCTAATCTCTCTGCGTCATTTTTTCCGAGCCGGATCGATCTGTGAGGGTCCAGGGGCCCGAAATCGAGCGAAAATGCCGGTTGTGAAAAAAGTGCAGCGCCAGGCTTTCAGGGCATTCCGAAGACACAGGGCAGCGGCAGGGGGGGGGGGGATGACCCCATGTCGCCCAGTCCTCGCCGAGATCGAGGCCGGGGCACCCCGGCTTGCCCTCCAGGAGCGCGCGCCGAACTTTTGCGATGGAGGGTGATGAAGCCTCCGACCTCTCGGCAGCGATGCATCGTCGGCTCCAGGCCCTTGTTGCCCGCCCTGGGGCAGCCTCCCGCTTTGGAAGCCCCTTCCCAGACCCCCTACGTCACGATTTGTCCATGACGTCGACCCCTAGAGGTCTCGACCCACTCCCCAGGACCAGTTTTTCATCCTGAGTCGTTTGTCGTTTGTTCACAGTCCCGAGGCCCGGGAAGGGCCCCCAAAGGCCCAAAATTGGCGAAAAACCTCCCGTCGTGATTTTTACCTAACAGCGAAGACTGATAGGTTTCTAGTTGACTCAAAAGAGCTCACAGATCACTCCACAGGGGGGTCCGGGCAGGTGTTGGGGAGTTGCCGGGCGGCAGGGTGCCGGGCTCGTTTTTCACCAACAGTCACACACTTCGTGCTCTTCGACTTCCCAGAACTCCATTCCCAGGCCACATTCTGAATACCCGGATGCAACAGTCACACACTTCGTGCTCTTCGAGATCCCAGAACGCCATTCCCGGGCCACATTTAGAATAACCGGATGCAACAGTCACACACTTCGTGCTCTTCGACATCCCAGAACGCCATTCCCGACATTCCCGGATGCAACAGTCACACACTTCGTGCTCTTCGAGTTCCCAGAACTCCATTCCCGGGCCACATTTGGATGCCCGGAGCCAACTGTAGGCCACTTCGTGCTCTTCGAGTTCCCAGAACTCCATTCCCGGGCCACATTTTGAATGAGCCCGGAGCCAACTGTAGGCCACTTCGTGCTCTTCGAGTTCCCAGAACTCCATTCCCGGGCCACATTTTGAATGCTGAGGCAGGCTGATGCTGAGGCTGAGGCAGGCTGAGGCTGAGGCAGGCTGAGGCTGAGGCCGAGGCTGAAGGCAGACTGAGGCTGAGGCTGAAGCAGGCTGAGGCTGAGGCAGGCTGAGGCTGAGGCTGAGGCAGGCTGATGCTGAGGCAGGCTGAGGCTGAGGCTGAGGCTGATGCAGGCTGAGGCTGAGGCAGGCTGAGGCTGACGCCGAGGCTGAAGGCAGACTGAGGCTGAGGCTGAAGCAGGCTGAGGCTGAGGCTGAGGCAGGCTGAGGCTGAGGCAGGCTGAGGCTGAGGCTGAGGCAGGCTGAGGCTGAGGCTGTGACTGTGACTGCCGTTGCCACTGCGACTGTCATCGCGAATGCGACTACGACTGCGAGAACAGCAGAATTCTACAACTGGATTCTCATTTGAATCTTAAGGGGAATGCTTCCAGATATGCTCCTACACATCGCTGTTAGGTTGCTTTGCCCGGATAATTTCATGACTCGAGGGGGCCTGGGTTTGAGAAGCCCCTCAGGCCTTGGAGTAGCATCCCAGAGCTGGCCGGCCGGGACACCGCCGAGGAGGCGGCATTGGCCCTGGCCAGCGCGCGCCCAGGCCGCACGGTGGTCGCCACCGAGGGCCCGCAGGTGGCCCCGTGGGCGCGAGGCGTGGGGACCGCGAGGCCTCCGGCGGACGAACACTCGGCGGCCAGCCCTGGGGGGGGAGTCGGTGTCGAGAGTTTCAGGCTCGAGGTTCGAGGTTTTCTTGGCATCGCTCGGACGTGTGCATTTTTCCTTCGGCGAGGGCCATCGAGGAGCATCCTTGATCATTTGGCGCAAAAACCACGCCCGATACCGAAAAAAAACAAAGGGAATGGACGTCCGAGCGATGGCGAGTTTTTGGACGTCGTCGTCGGTTCTCGGCGGCTTGCCAGCCTCGGCATGCCCTCCAGCAGCTGCGCCCCGTCGAGGTCGTTCCGGGGGGGGGCGCCCGGATCGTCCCAAAATCAGGAGGGAAAAAAGCACACAGACACCATTAATCGTCGATTCCCCAGAAAATATAGAAAAGTATAGGAAATGGGGGGAAAGACCAGAAAATATAAGAAAATATTGGGAATTATTTGATTTGTGTTTGTGTGCATTTATTTGTGTGTCCCAGGGTCCCTTCACAAAAGGCCGCCGGAGGCCCGGGTTATGATCCGAAAACCGCCAGCAGAGGGGGCGGGCCTTGTCAGAAGGCTCGGAAGGCCCCCGGCCTTCTGAGAAGTGTTCGGCGAAGCCTTCCCGAAGACACAGAAAACCCTTCTCGGAAGACGCGGCGGCTTCTGAGAAGCCCCGCCGCTTTCTGAGAAGGCCTGCTCCGTCTCACTTCTCCCCCGCGCGCGCGCGCAGCCAAAAACAGCATCCGTGCCACGCCCGTCGGGCGACCCCATCGGCGCGCTGCTGCTGAAAGGGTATCGGCCACGCGTAGGAGTGGCCCGTCGCCAGAATGACTTTCCTGACGTGGGCCCGCCGGGGTCCCGCCAGCATGAAGTCGGGCATGTCTCTCTACAGGAGGGACATTCAAGAATTGTCCAAAAATCCTCTGGTGACGATTTGTTTACTAGTGTCGCAATTTTTGAAGGTTTGACTATGGCTAACTGTTCGCCCAAAAATTCGCCTGCAGGGGGACATGCCCGACCTGATGATAGTGGAGGATGACGATTAATAAATGACCGGGGGTCGTGTTCACGCGGCGGCGCCCAGGATGACAATTAGAAAAAACCGGCCGCGGGCCGGAACACCATCTGTTTCATCGTTCTCCTCCAGTCCGACACTTGTGCAGAGATAGCCGACGACTAGTTTTGTGGATCGTTCCCCCTATGTTTGTATTACTCGTCATCCCGCATTAGTTCTCGGCCTCTTGTCGGAGGGCACCAACTATACACCAACACCGATCCTGGCCCAGGATCACCCTGGGCCCAGGATCGGTGTATATGCCTTCTTGCGCAGGGCAGGAGGGCGTATACACCGATCCTGGGCCCAGGGTGATCCTGGCCAGGATCGGTGTTGGTGTATAGTTGGTGCCTTCCTATCTTGGGGTCCCTGCCGGCCCCGGGACCGTCAAAGAGCGGCGGGGTGGAAAAAGCGGGCCTCGGGGGAGCGGGCGAGAGGCCCGGGGGGCCCGCGTCTCGATGAGGTCGAGGCGCGCCCGATGCCCGGGGAGAGGCCACTCTCTTGCCTGCAGGGCCACTCTTGCGCGCAGGCGAGAGCCCTGAGATCCTGGGGGTCCAATTTTTTCGCAGCGCGGGTTTTTTTGCTCAATTGAGGGGCCCCGGGACCCTCACAGATCGATCCAGCTCGAAAAATGGCGCAGAAAGATGCGGTCCGGGGCTCTGGGCGTGATTTTTTGCTATGTTGCAATTTTTTGCACCGTCGGATCTCAGGAAGTGCAAAAGGCCGTTGCTCAAAGTCGCCCAGGTGCAACACGCACAGCCTGGAAGACGGCGGGCGCGCGTGCCACCTCGGATGCGCTCCGTCCGGAGCAGGGCGAGTGGAGACAGCGGCGGTTCAAAGTCGATCCCCCGACTTAGAGCCGTCCGGGGGTCTGAGGCGGCCCGACGCTGGTTCCGGCCAGCGAGAAGAGCGAGCAGGTTCGAGGTGCTGGGTTCGGAAAGGTCTTTTGCCCTCCTCGGCCTCCAGGGGCTGTTTTCGAGCCCCGGGGCCGTCAGAAAAGGATCCGGGGCGCAAAGCTGCGCCAGATGGACCCCAGGAGGGGTCCTGGGACCGATTTTGAGGCGGGGCGAGGAGGGGGAGGCTGCGCCTCCTCATCCCACGTCTCCTCCTCCTCCTCCTCCTTCTCCTCCTCCTCCTCCTCCTCCTCCTCCTCCTCCTCCTCCTCCCCCCCTCCTCCTCCTCCGCCTCCTCCTCCTCTTCCTCCTCCTCCTCCTCCTCCTCTTCCCCATCCTTCTCCTCCTCCTCATCCTCCTCCTCCTCCCTCCTCTCTTCTCCTCCTCCTCCTCCTCCTCCTCCTCCTCCTTCTCCTCCTCCTCTTCCTCCTCCTCCTCCTCCTCCTCCTCCTCCTCCTCCCCCTCCTCCTCCTCCTCCTCCTCCTCCTCCTCCTCCTCCGATTTCCGGGGGGTCTACACAGTTCAGACCCCTGGCCGCCTCCGACCCCGACCCCTCTCGGGGGGCCTAGGCGCGCCAGTCTTCCCGAGCTACGTCCGGGCCGTGGCGGCGAGAGGGGGCCCTCCAGCAGCGGCGCCCTTGCCTCAACTCGCGCTCCTCGGACCCACACATTGCTCATTTCTAAATTTTCGAAAGGTCTTTGATTGTTTGGGGGGCCAGGATCCGTTTCTTTCTAAGTGTTCTATCCTGGGCCTCTTCCTGGCCACCAGGGCTGAGGAACAACTAGGAACGAGCACAATTAGAAGTGGGCACGATTAGAAATGAACGACGTGTATTCTCAAGTCAGGCCTGTCCCTCTACAGAGGAATATTCGAACATAGTCAAAAAATTGTCTCGGGACGATTGTTCGATTATTGTTTGAACTATGTTTGAGTCCGTTTGGGTATGTTTGATTCTTGTGTCAAAAATCCGCCTGTAGGGGGGACACGCCCGACCTAGACCGAGGCCTGCTCCGTCCCCGCCCTGGGGCTGCGACGTCAGGGACACCACCACTGACGCGGGCCGCGCGTACCCTTACGTCGGGCCTGTCCCTCCACAGGAGGAACATGCAAAAATAATCACACACAACAAAAAAACGTCTGGGGACGACTTTTAGAATGTTTATTTGCTCATGTTTGGGCACTTGCGGGGTATTCTGTTTTTTCCTCCACAGCCTGCCTGTTGGGGGACATGCCCGACCTAAGCGTACCCCGCTGGCTTGGTCGCCGCGCCCGCGCGAGGCGTCGTCGACCCGCGGCAGGCGACGGAGAGCTGGCCGCGCGCGCGGCCGCCGCCGCGTGCGAGACGCCTCTGCCCCGTCGCGTCGTGGGAGGCGCTCTGGAAGTAGGGCACCGCCGAGTAGGGTCAAGTCGGGCATGCCCCTCTACAGGAGGACTTCTCCGAAATTCGTAACAACCGTCGGGGGGCGATGTTTGACCGTGTTGGGCTATGTTTGAAGTTGCTGCGAGCGTGATTTGTCCGCTTGTCTTCAAAATCCGCTTGTGGGAGGACGTGCCCGACCTAAGAGTAGGGCGGCGGCGCGCTCCTGCGCCTCCTCCTCGGTGGCTCCCCCGGATGTCCGGCGGTGACAAGTGTGGTTTCGGCCCGGGCGTTGTTCTTGGATGTGTCGGCCCCTGGGCCCCGCATTATGGGGAAGCGGTCGGGACCTCCTGGGGCCGCGCATAGAAAAACAAAAAAAGATAGTATACATAGAACAGGTGGAAACACTAAGACCAAGAAAAGATCACAACAACAACAACAGCAGCACCAGCAGCAGCGACAACGGCAATGGCAACGGCAACAGCAACAACAGCAACAACACAGCAGCAGCAACAGCAACGACAACGGCAACGACAACAACAGCAGCAACAGCAACAGCAACAGCGACAGCAACGACAACAGTTACAACAACAACAACAACAACAACAACAGCAGCAATGACAACAACTACAAAAACAGCACGAACAGCAACAACCACAACAACAACAATCAGTTTCAGACTGCTCGCTCTTATCTGCTCGCGTACCATTCAACACGTATATCCCAAACCCTCGATACCCGCCCTCTTCGGTTTTGGTCGTACCCCCTTGCGGGCATATCTTCCTTACCTGCCACGTGTAATTCATGCAGCCCCTAAAGCAGGGGAAGAGAGGACGGATGGAAAGGGGAGGGAAAAGGATGGAGCAAGAGAGAAATTAGCAGGAGGGAGGTTAGGAGCAGGAAACACAGCAAAACCAGACGGGCTGATCGGGCGGGTGGACCTCTACTGGGCCGGTCGAGAAGGCAGGCCCAGGTGGCCAGATCGAGCAGGCGGGCTGCTGAAGCGTAAGTCTTGCCTGAATCACGAGGAAGTCTCGAGCGATAGCGCGAGTCCCAAGTAAATTGCGAGAACGGCCAAAGCGAGAGCGTGATTCCTGAGTGTCGAGGGCGCGGCGTCTGAATCATTTGCCGGGACCTTCCACGCGAGAGCGCGACCCCTGCATAAATTGTGAGGAGGCCCCGCGCGAAAGCGCGATTTGGGAATAGTTTGTGAGGAGGTATCAGGCGGGAGCCGCTGTTGCTGTAGCCGGAGAGCCAGGGGCGCAGTTTCACGAGGAGGATTTTCCATGAGAAAAAACGGGGTGCGAGCCCCGCGCGGGGCACTTCGATTGAAAGACAATATGTCACCCGAGGGCCGGGATCAACAATATTCATTCTCTAGAAACGAGAAGTCAACAACAGCAGCAGCAGCAACAACAACAACAACAATCATTCCAAGACTGTTCGCTCCTACCGGCCCGCGTGTCATTCACTATGCACATCCCAAACCCTGGATACCCGCACTCGTCGTCTTCGATCGTACCCCTTTTTGGGGGGTTGTATTCCTTCCTGGCCACGTGTAATTGGAGAAGCCTTGGGCGGGACCTCTGTGGGCGCGTTCGGGGCTTCTGTGGGCTGCGGAAGGGGCCTCTGTGGGCAGCGTGGCGGGGCCTCACTGGGCGCGTCTGAGGCGGGAGCCGTTGTTGTTGTAGCCGGGAGCCCAGGGGCACAGTTTGGCCCGGATGATTTTCCTTGTCAAAAAGACAGGGTGCGAGCGTCGATGGGCGCATTTAGGACAATGCGCACCAGTGGGGGGGACCAACAGAAATCATTCGTCAGGAATGAAAATTCAACATCAGCTGACGTGCGAAGGAGAGGGAATCGGAAGGAGGGGGGGGGCGGCCCAGGAGGAGGGAGGAGCAGGAATAAAAGAGTGCGAACGTTCGAATAAGTCCTAGGCGAAAGCGCCATTCCACAAGGAAGTCTCGGGCGGCAGCCCGCGACGGGCGGGCGATCCGCTGACGGGCGGGTCGGGCGGGTGGGACATTCAAGCGGGATGCCTGAGTAGGGCGAGAGCGCGATTCCTAAGTAAAGTGTGACGGCGTCCTTGGCGCGAGCGTGGTGCCTGAGCGTAGAAAGCGCGATGTTGTTTAATAAATTGCGAAATAGTCACAGGCGAGAGCGCCATTCCTGCAAAGAGGATGTCTGGCGGGAGCGGGGGTCTAAAGAAGTCTCAGACGGGAGGGGGGGGTCGTGAGTAAATTTGGAGGAAGTCTCAGGCGGGAGCAGTTGTTGTTGTAGTCCTGGGGGCCAGGGGCCCAGTTTGAGCATCAAGACTTTCCTTGTCAAAAAACAGGGTGCGAGCGTCGAGGGGCACACTTTGATTCAGAAAAAACAGCATGCACCGGTGAGGGGGGATCAACAATAGTTATTGTTTAGGAATGAGAGTTCAACAACAACAAGAACAATAACAAGAACAACAACAACAACAACAACAACAACAACAATCAGTTGAAGCCTGTTCGCCCTTATCTGCTCGAGTGTCCAATAACGCGTATTTCCCAACCCTCGATACCCGCCCTCTTCGTCTTCGATCGAACCCCTTTTGGGGGGTATACTTTTCTTCCCTGCAGGCTGGGCCCCGGCAAGCGGCGGGGCGGCCGCGGACCGTCGGCTTGGCAAGCGGCAGCGCTGATCGGCGGGGCGGCCGCGGACCGTCGACCCGACCCCAAGAGGGACGGACAGGGGAGCGACGACGACGACGACGTCGACGACGACGGCGACGACGACGACGACGACGGCGACGACGAGCGAAAGCGAGAGCGAGAGAGAACGACAGCAGGGCCACGAAGGACACGAAGAAGGCCACGAAGGGCGACAGCGGGGACACGAAGGCAATGCATATGGGGCCACGAAGAGCGCGAACGAGCGGGGGCCACGAAGGGCAGATAATGCGGGGCCACAGAAGGCAACGATGGGGCCACTGAGGGTAGCAACTTGGCCACGAAGGGCATGCACATGGGGCCACAACGGGCGCGACTCCTGGGCGCCTGGGTATCGGGGGCGGCGCTTGAGCAAATTGCAAGAACTTCCAACGCAAGGGCGCTATTCTTCAGTAAATTGCAAGCAAGTCTCCAGCGAGAGCGCGATTCCAGAACGCCTGGAAACCGATTCTTGGATAAATTACAGGGAAGTCCCAAGCGAGAGCGCGATTCCTGAGTAAAATGCAAGGAACTCTCGGGCGGGAGCGGGGGTCCTTGCTAAATTGTAAGGAATCTCAATCGGGAGCCGTTAGTGTTGTAACCCGGGGGCCAGGGGCCCAGTTTGAGCATCAAGATTTCCCTTGTCAAAACACCAGGTGCGAGCGTCGAGGGGCACATTTTGATTCAGAAAAAACAGTATGCACCAGTAGGGGGATCAACAAGGGGCACGCGTGCCAAGGATCATACAATGACGATGTGGGTCCATGGGAGATGGAGAAAACCAGGGATCGCGAGGGAGGCAGTCCTTGGCAGGCGCCGGGAAGCGTGCCGCAATTGCTGCGACACGTTGGCAAGGGACAGATTCGAAGACGGGAAGGGGCGGCTAGAAGCATGTCAGTTTGGGTATGGAGGAAGGTCGGGGTCGGGGGGGGGGGGGGGCTGGTCGGAATGAGGGGACGGGGCGCAGGGCGGAGGGGGGGGGGGGGGGGGGGAGGGGGGCACCGGTCGGTCGGAAAAGGGTGGGGGGGGGGGGGCCTTCCGGGACGCCCATTTTGGGGAGGGGGGGGGGGGCGGCGGAGAGGGCGGGGGGAGGCCCCGGCCGGGGAGGAGCGGGGAGAAAGGGCCACGGTGTCGGTCGGAATAAGGGGAGGGGGGCGCAAGGGGGGAACGGGAGGGTGGCCCACGGTCGGTCGGAATAAGAGGAGGGGGGCGCAGGGGAGGAGCGGGGAGGGGGTGCCCACGGTCGGTCGGAATAAGGGGACGTGGGGCGCAAGGGAGGAGCGGGGGGGGGGCCCCACGGTCGGTCGGAACAAGGGGAGGGGGGCGCAGGGGAGGAGCGGGGGGGGGGGCCCACGGTCGGTCGGAATAAGGGAGGGGGGCGCAGGGGAGGAGCGGGGGGGGTGGCCCACGGTCGGTCGGAATAAGGGGACGGGGGCGCAGGGGGGGAGCGGTGGGGGGGCCACGGTCGGTCAGAATAAGGGGAGAGGGGCGCAGAAGAGGAGCGGGGGGAGTGGCCCACGGTCGGGCGGAAGAAGGGGACGGGGGCGCAAGGGGGGAGCGGGGGGGGGCCCACGGTCGGTCGGAATAAGCGGAGGGGGGCGCAAGGGGGGAGCGGAGGGGGTGGCCCACGGTCGGTCGGAATAAGGGGAGGGGGGCGCAGGGAGGGAGCGGGGGGGGTGGCCCACGGTCGGTCGGAATAATGGGAAGGGGGCGCAGGGGAGAAGCGGGGGGGGTGGCCCACGGTCGGTCGGAATAAGGGGAGGGGGGCGCAGGGGGGGAGGGGGAGGGGCCAGCACGACCACCAGCACGACCACCAGCACCTCCACCAGAACGGCCAGCAACACGACCGCGAGCACGACCACCAGCACGACCACCAACACGACCACCAGCACCTCCAGCACGGCCAGCCACCAGCACGACCACCAGCAGAACCACCAGCACGACCACCAGCACGACCACCAGCACCTCCACCAGAACGGCCACCAACACGACCGCCAGCACGACCACCAGCACAAGCACCGGCACGCCCAGCCACCAGCACGACCACCAGCACAACCACCAGCACGACCACCAGCACGACCACCAGCACGACCACCAGCACCTCCACCAGAACGGCCACCAACACGACCGCCAGCACGACCACCAGCACAAGCACCAGCACGACCACCAGCACGACCACCAGCACGACCACCAGCACGACCAGCCACCAGCACCTCCAGCACGGCCAGCCACCAGCACGACCAAGCACGACCACCAACACGACCACCAGCACCTCCAGCACGGCCAGCCACCAGCACGACCACCAGCACAACCACCAGCACGACCACCAGCACGACCACCAGCACGATCACCAGCACCTCCACCAGAACGGCCACCAACACGACCGCCAGCACGATCACCAGCACAACCACCAACGCGACCAGCCACCAGCACGACCACCAGCACAACCGCCAGCACGACCACCAGCACGACCACCAGCCCAGCACGACCACCAGCACGACCACCAGCACGACCACCAGCACGACCAGCCAGCAGCACGACCACCAGCTCGACCACCAGCACTTCCCAGCACGACCACCAGCACAAGTACCAGCACGACCACCAGCACGACTGCCAGCACCTCCACCAGAACGGCCAGCAGCACGACCACCAGCACGACCACCAGCACGTCCACCAACCACGACCACCAGCACGGCCGCCAGCACAACCACCAGCACGACCGCATTATGGGCACACGGTCGGTCGAAATAAAGCAGTGCGAGATCACACCGGTAGGTATGATGACAATAATTATTTTCCAGGAGTGACAGTTCAACGACAACAACAACAACAACAACAACAACAACAACAACAACAACAACAACAACGACAACGACAACGACAACGACGACAACGACAACGACAACGACAACGACAACAACAACAACAATTACGCTACCGAGGAACCCCACATACTTACTTTATGTCACGTGTGTTCACAAACCACATCACATCCCGCTTCGCCATCCTGACGAGCCAGACTGACCAGACCAGCCAGATCAGCCAGGCCAGCCGGACTGACCAGACCAGTCGGATCAGTCGTTCCAGCCATAACCAGCCAAAGTAATCAGACCAGCCAGCCACGCCTGCTGTGCCTGGACGACCGTCGTGCATAGCGGCCGCGGTGAGAGACCACCCCCTGCGCACCCCCTGTGGTGTCGAGAAAGTGCCACGCCTGCTGTGCCTGGACGACCGTCGTGCATAGCGGCCGCGGTGAGAGACCACCCCCTGCGCACCCCCTGTGGTGTCGAGAATGTGCCACGCCTGCTGTGCCTGGACGACCGTCGTGCATAGCGGCCGCGGTGAGAGACCACCCCCTGCGCACCCCCTGTGGTGTCGAGAATGTGCCAACTGTGCCTGGACGACGACCGTCGTGCATAGCGGCCGCGGTGAGAGACCACCCCCTGCGCACCCCCTGTGGTGTCGAGAATGTGCCACGCCTGCTGTGCCTGGACGACCGTCGTGCATAGCGGCCGCGGTGTGCGCACCCCCTGGTGTCGAGAAAGTGCCACGCCTGCTGTGCCTGGACGACCGTCGTGCATAGCGGCCGCGGTGAGAGACCACCCCCTGCGCACCCCCTGTGGTGTCGAGAAAGTGCCACGCCTGCCCTGGACGACCTATAGCCGCGGTGAGAGACCACCCCCTGCGCACCCCCTGTGGTGTCGAGAAAGTGCCACGCCTGCTGTGCCTGGACGACCGTCGTGCATAGCGGCCGCGGTGAGAGACCACCCCCTGCGCACCCCCTGTGGTGTCGAGAAAGTGCCACGCCTGCTGTGCCTGGACGACCGTCGTGCTAGCGGCCGCGGTGGGAGACCACCCCCTGCGCACCCCCTGTGGTGTCGAGAAAGTGCCACGCTGCTGTGCCTGGACGACCGCGTGCATAGCGGCCGCGGTGAGAGACCACCCCTGCGCACCCCCTGTGGTGTCGAGAAAGTGCCACGCCTGCTGTGCCTGGACGACCGTCGTGCATAGCGGCCGCGGTGAGAGACCACCCCCTGCGCACCCCCTGTGGTGTCGAGAAAGTGCCACGCCTGCTGTGCCTGGACGACCGTCGTGCATAGCGGCCGCGGTGAGAGACCACCCCCTGCGCACCCCCTGTGGTGTCGAGAAAGTGCCACGCCTGCTGTGCCTGGACGACCGTCGTGCATAGCGGCCGCGGTGAGAGACCACCCCCTGCGCACCCCCTGTGGTGTCGAGAATGTGCCACGCCTGCTGTGCCTGGACGACCGTCGTGCATAGCGGCCGCGGTGAGAGACCACCCCCTGCGCACCCCCCGCGGTGTCGAGAATGTGCCGCGCCTGCTGTGCCTGGACGACCGTCGTGCATAGCGGCCGCGGTGAGAGACCACACCTTGCGCACCCCCTGTGGTGTCGAGAAAGTGCCACGCCTGCTGTGCCTGGGCGACCGTCGTGCATAGCGGCCGCGGGGAGAGACCACCCCCTGCGCACCCCTCGTGGTGTCGAGAATGTGTCACGCCTGCTGTGCCTGGGCGGCCGTCGTGCATAGCGGCCGCGGTGAAAGACCACCCCCTGCGCAGCCCCTGTGGTGTCGAGAAAGTGCCACGCCTGCTGTGCCTGGACGACCGTCGTGCATAGCGGCGGCGGTGAGAGACCACACCCTGCGCACCCCCTGTGGTGTCGAGACAGTGCCACGCCTGCTGTGCCTGGACGACCGTCGTGCATAGCGGCCGCGGTGAGAGACCACCCCCTGCGCACCCCCTGTGGTGTCGAGAATGTGCCACGCCTGCTGTGCTTGGACGGCCGTCGTGCATAGCGGCCGCGGTGAGAGACCACCCCCTGCGCACCCCCTGTGGTGTCGAGACAGTGCCACGCCTGTTGTGCCTGGACGACCGTCGTGCATAGCGGCCGCGGTGAGAGACCACCCCGTGCGCACCCCTTGTGGTGTCGAGGAAGTGCCACGCCTGCTGTGCCTGGACGACCGTCGTGCATAGCGGCCGCGGTGAGAGACCACACCCTGCGCACCCCCTTGCGGTGTCGAGAAAGTGCCACGCCTGCTGTGCCTGGACGACCGTCGTGCATAGCGGACGCTGTGAGAGACCACCCCCTGCGCAGCCCCTGTGGTGTCGAGAAAGTGCCACGCCTGCTGTGCCAGGACGACCGTCGTGCACAGCGGCCGCGGTGAGAGACCACCCCCTGCACAGCCCCTGTGGTGTCGAGAAGGTTCCACGCCTGCTGTGCCTGGACGACCGTCGTGCATAGCGGCCGCGGTGAGAGACCACACCCTGCGCACCCCCTGTGGTGTCGAGAATGTGCCACGCCTGCTGTGGCTGGACGACCGTCGTGCTGAGCTGAGCTGCGCTGTGCTGTGCTGAGCTGAGCTGTGCTGTGCTGTGTGCTGTGTTGTGCTGTGCTGTGCTGTGCTGCGGTGAGCTGTGCTGCGCTGTGCTGTGCTGTGCTGAGCTGAGCTGAGCTGAGCTGAGCTGTGCTAAGCTGTGCCGTGCTGAGCTGAGCTGTGCTGAGCAGTGCTGTGAGGAGGAGGGGAGGTGTGAGGCGAGACGCGGGTGCGACGCGGCAGGGAAGAAAACCAGAACCCCACTAAGCATGTAGGGAACAACAACAGCAGCAACAACAACAACAACAACAATAACGACAACAAGAACAAGAACAAGAACAAGAACAAGAACGACAACGACAACGACAACGACAACGACAGCAGCAGCAACAACAACATTGACAACAACAACAACAACAACGACGACGACGATGACGACAACAACAACAAAGACAACGGCGGATGTCTGGGTTCTTGCTTCTCCCGTTCTTTCTCCTCGCCTCCTGCCGCTGCTCTTCCTGCCGCTGCTCTTCCTGCAACCGCGGAGGGCCGAACGAATTCGCAGACGTCTCCCTGTGTTGGTCAATCAGCACGTGCGTGGGCGGATCCCCAGAGTGCTGCCGGCCACATAAGTTGGCGGGAGTTGTGTGCACTGGCGGAGAAAATGTTGGAAAGGAGACGAACGGGGGGGTGGGGTTGGGGCTGTTTTGGTGCTGTCTCGGGCCGTCTTAGGCCGTCTTGCGTCCCTCCGGAGGCCCTCTTGGTCCAGCTTGCGGTTGCCCTGGGGCCGTCCTGAACCATCTAGGGGCTGCCTTTGGGGGCTCCGAGTGGACCTTCGAGGACCGCAGGCGGACGGATCTTGGACCGAAGATTTTGACAAGCGGCACGCATTGAAAATCATAAGGAGAATCAGTGTGGTTGGGTTTTCAGTGTGGAGGATGTCGCAGCACCGCCTGTGTGGGCCCAGGCTGCTTCCCTCACTGGCACGCATCGCCTTGCATATTCTCTCTCTTGTCAGGTTGCGCGTGGCCCTCAAGGCGCACGCGCCTGTGGGAAGCATCCCGACCTTCAGTGCGGGCCCTGTCCCCCCAGAGCGGGGCTATAAACACCCTGGCTCCCTGGACCGACCTGGCCGGTTCCAGTTGCCATGTCTCCCTCGGCGGAAGGCGGCTGAAGCAAAGCGAGGGCGGTTTCCCGCCGACGGGAAGCTGGCCCGACGGAAGGCCAGCGACGTAAAAAATGCATTCCCGAGAGATAGCAGCATTTTTGAGTGCAGGGTTTGCGGGACCCGCCACCGATACAGTCCACCCGCATAGCAAGGATGAGCTCTGTTTCCAAGGGTACCCTTGCATCCTTCCCTCCTCGGCCCATCCTTGGACCCTGGCGTTGGCCGCGCCCCGCCCAGAAAGCTTCGGAATGGGCGTCCAAGGCCCTTGCATCCTTGTCGCGCATCCTTATGATACGGGCCGGCCGTAATCTCACGCTCGGGGGCCTCGCGGAGGGCGTCTTGGGGGCGGAGGGGCGGGCGGGCAGGTCGGCATGGGAGGGGGTCCGCGGCGGCGGGCGCAGCGACGGGGCACGTCGGCGGAGGGCGGCGGGTGCACGCTTGTCCGAGCTTGGCATCGCTCGGACGTGTGCGTTCCCAGACCGCCAGCGCATGGAGAAACCCGAGGCGGAGGCTGCTCTCAATTTCCGGCCTCTTGGGGGCCCTCGCCAGGCCCTGGGACCATCCAAAGAAACGACTCAGCAGGAAGAGCTGGCCTGGGGCAGAGGTCCAGGAACTTCGGTGATCCCGTTCTGAGAGAGTCAAGGCAGCGGATGCCTGGGGTTCTCTCGGCTGGACCATCTCGGGGCACCATGGAGCATCTTGGGAGAACAGCACGCCCGAGACGAAACAGCCTACGGGGCAGGGACGTCCCAGCGGTGGCAGGCTGCCGCAGCTTGGCATCGCTCGGGCGCGCGCACGTGCCGCGGCGGGGCCAGCGCCAAAACATCTGGACCATCCTGGAGAACCCTGGGCCACCTGGAGAGAAGGGCGCGCCCGAAACCAGACGGTGCACGGGGAATGGTGCTCGTTTCTTGGCTCCGATCGGCGCGGGCCCTCGCACCCGCCCCCCCCCCTCCCCCCCGCCCGTGGAGCAGATCTTGGCCGTTTGTGGCGCCTGTCTCGAGCAGGGGGGGCCTCCCCCATCATGGACGCACCGTTGCAAACAGACGCCATTAAGCAGAGGTCCGGCGCCAGACCCCCCCCCCCTCCCCCCCCTTCCGCCCAATGTCGGAACGCAGTATATAAAAGAACGCTCACATGGAAGCCTTAAGTCGGGCCTGTCCTTCTACAGGGAGACTGTGGCGGAGAATTAAATTACCCCAGTGCGACCCTACCTAGAAGTTGGAGCCCCTAGGAAAGCAGCATTAGATGCTATGCTAGCTATGCTATGCCATGGGATGCTGCGCTAATATATGCTATGATATGCTATGCTATGCTGCGCTATGCTATGCTATGATGTGCTATGATATGATATGTTATGATGCGCTGTGCTATGCTGAGCTATGCTATGCTATGCTATGCTATGCTATGCTAAGCTGCGCTATGCTATGCTCTGCTCTGCTATGCTATGCTGCGCTGTGCTATGCTGTGCTGTGCTATGCTGCGCTATTCTATGATATGCTATGCTGCGCTATGCTATGCTATGCTGGGCTATGCTATGATATGCTGTGCTGTGCTATGCCATGCTACGCTATGTTGTGCTGTGCGTTGCTATGCTTAAGCTCAGCGAAGCTAAGATGAAGGTAAGCTAAGCTAAGATAAACCTGAGCTATGATGAAGCTAAGCTGAGCTATGATGAAGTAAGCTAAGCTAAGATGATATGAGCAACGCTGAGCTAAGGGGACGTAACTGGGGGAACCGCGGGGCGGATGCCGGGGGAACCGCCCGGGGCGTGTTACACTGCCCGGCCACTTTAAGTTCACACAGTAAGAACCCTCCTAGGCAGAGCCTAGGTAGGGAAAAATAGTCCAAACAAATATTCCAAAATGGTCAAAAATACTCCAAAAGATAGCCCCCAGACGATTAGTTGCTTACTTGTTAGATATTCCTCCTGTAGAGGGACAGGCCCGACTTAATGGAAGCCCAAGCGATGGTGAGAGAGAAAAGGGCCGCATCGCCGTTGCAGCGGCTTCCCAGAAGACGTTGTTTGCGCGACTGTCGTCGTCGTCATTTTGAGATCAATATCGTCGTCTTCGTCATCGGTATCGTCGTCGTCGTCTTGAGATCAATACGTCTTGGGTCATGGGTGGGTGGGACACGTCCAACAGGCTTCAAGTTTGGGCTAGTGGGCAGGGCCAAGCCCGAGCGAGGGCAGAGACGCCGACGCCGCTCCTCACCTGCCCTTTGCCCGCGTCGCTACGGCCAGCGTCGCCTCGGAGTCCTGGCCAGAGCGCGCCCCTGGAGGGGCCCAGGGAGTAACGTTGAGTCGGGCACGTCCCTCTCTGCAGGAACTGGTCAAAAGATTGATATTGGGACGATGTCTTCAACGATGTTCCTGGCTATATCTGGCGACTGCTTGACAAGTTCCATGCGTCTGCCAAAAGCCGCCTGTAGGGGGACATGCCCGGCACAGGGAGCACGGTCAACCCGCATAGCAAGGATATGCAATCGTCCCAAGGGCACCCTGGCATCCTTGCCTCCTCGGCCCAGACTTCGCCACTGTCGCTGGCCGCGCTCCGCCCAGAAAGCTGCGAAACGGCCTTCCAAGGCCCTTGCATCCTCATCGTGCATCCTTATGCTAAGGGCCGACTATAGCGGCGCAGCGTTACCAGTTGCCCCCTTGGCCTCCTCGCGTGCCCGCGCGCGGCGCTGCGGCGCGGCGGCGGCCTTGCCCCCCCGCGGCGCCCAGGTGCTGGGGCGATGTGGACGATGCTTCGGCTAGTCGTAACTCTCTTCCTGAGTATAGGGGGCGATGTTTCGGCTATGTGTGACTCTCTTCCCGAGTTTAGGGGACGACGTTTCGGCTATGTGTGACTCCTCTTGAGTACGCTCGACTCTTCGCGACAGCTTCCTCCAGGGGTGGCGGCGCATCCTTACCCGTCTGCCCCCTTTGGCCTCCGCGCCTGCCCGCGCCGCGGCGCCGCGGCGCGGCGGCGGCCAGAGGAGGTGGAGATGCAGGAGGAGGAGGAGGAGGAGGAGGAGGAGGAGGAGGAGGGGAAGGGGGAGGAGGAGGAGGAGGAGGAGGAGGAGGAGGACGAGGAGGAGGAGGAGGAGGAGGTGGAGGAGGCGGCGCGCCCCCCCGCGGCGCCCAGGTGCTGCACGAGGTCGGGGCGCGCATGGGCCGCGTGCTGGCGGCCAAGGCGAGCCGGCGGCCCGGCCCGGCTCGGCGGGGCGGCGGGCTGACGTCGGGCGTGCCCCATTGCAGGAGGCATCTTCAAAGATAGTAGAGAAAATAAGTTGGGGACGATTTTAACTCATTTTCAGATTTTGGGGGACGATTTGTAATCATTTTGGGGACGATGTTTAATCATGTTTGGTGGACGATGTAATCATTTTGGGGACGTTTTGCAATCATTTGGGGGATTGAATTTTCAAAGATAGTAGAGAAAATAAGTTGGGGACGATTTTTACTATTGTTGAGTTTTTGTTGTATTTTGTTGCGTCTTTGGGCTGCTCGTCCAAACTCCGCCCGTAGGGGGGCACGCCGGACCTAACGGTAGGTCGGCGTCGCCAAGCGGCCCGGCGGCCGCAGGGCCCGGGCCAGCAGAGCGCTGCGGCGAGCTGCTGGCTTCGAAGCCCCGGCGTCCCGCAGCAGCGATCGGGGTCGAGGGTGCGGCTTGCCTTCGGAGAGCGGCAGGCCGATCGTCATCGTCATCATCATCAGCAGCATCAGCATCAGCAGCATCATCACCATCAGCATCAGCATCAGCAGCAGCATCATCACCATCAGCATCATCATCATAAGCATAAGCATCAGCATCATCAACAACAACATCATCGCCAGCATCATCATCATCATCATCATCAGCAGCAGCAGCATCAGCAGCAACATCAGCAGCAGCATCAGCATCAGCATCAACACCAGCAGCCTCATCCGCATCCACATCAGCATCATCATAACATCGTCATCGTCATCGTCATCGTCATCGTCATCAGCAGCTGCAGCATCAGCATCAACATCAGCATCATCGTCATCAGCATCATCAGCATCATTGTCGTCATCATCATCACAATCATCGCCATAGTCATCGTCACCGTCGTCGTCACCATCATCATCATCATCATCATCAGCAGCATCAGCATCAGCATCAGCATCAGCATCAGCATCAGCATCAGCATCGTCATCACCAGCATCAACATCATCGCCATCGTCATCAGCATCAGCATCAGCATCAGCTTCAACATCATCAGCATTAGCATTAGCATCATCATCAGCAGCATCATCATCATCGTCGTCATCGTCATCGTCATCATCATCGTCGTCGTCATCGTCATCACCACCATCGTCATCACCACCACCATCATCATCACCATCACCACCTCCGACGACAGATGTTTTTCAATCCGGGTGTTTTCCCTCGAGCGTGGTCTCTGGGGCCCGTTGCTCTGACCCTAGGACACACCCAGACATCGATCAGGGGCGGAACGTTGGCCCAGGGGAGGTCGGGATTTCGGGGCCGCGGATTGAAAA